ATGATGTATCACTGAAAGTGTCGGTGATATGGTGTAGGTCAGAGTCCACGTCTGCTGTTGTTCCTCAGAGACTTGATAATTTTCCCAGCCTCGAAAGTGGACAGCTATTTAATTCACAGACAGTGGTGTTGCAGTCATAAGATAGAGGGCCTGGGACACCCTGCCTCCATTGAAGAAGCCCTCTGTCCTTCTTGCTGATGAAGCTCTTCCCTAGCCTGACCTCTCGCGAGCCTGGCGGCGTCTGGAGGGCACTCTCGGAGTACAATGCCAGAATAAATGCCTGACGCTATATAGAATCTTAACTTTGAGCTGCCGAAATTCAGAGTTTCTGTGGATGCTGGCTAGAGTGAGGACAGTTTGTAGCTTTGAAAAAGTTCAGTTTCCTGCCTTTTTTTGTTTTCTCTATTTTAAAATATTGGCCATTCACATTAGAAGTAGGAGTAAAAAGCACTTTTCAGGAAAAGCTTTTAGAGTCATCACTGTCTGTTTCTTACGCTCCCTAATTTTTAAACAGTCATTTCTGGAGTGGCCTCTTTTAAACCTTGTAGAAATTTTGGCTATTAGACAAATGTTTCTGAAATCTTTGATCAGCGAAGACTCAGATGCTTTGCTTTTGTATAGCTTTCTGCTCCTAAGCCTCATCTAACTTGCAGTTCATCTCAGCAGTACCTCTTTGGAACAAATCTTTCTTTTTCTGTCTCTCTTTTTTGTTTTTTTTGGGGTTTTTTTTTGTACTGGGAATTGAACTCAGGACCTTGTGCTTGCTAGGCAGGCTCTATGCCACTGAGCTATATCCCCAGCCTTGGAACAAATCTTTCTTAAGCCATGATGCTCTCTAGCTAGTATGCTTCTTGTTTTTATGATCTGCCTCTAATTTAAAAAAGAAAATAAAACCTTGGTTTAGCCAGCTAGCTACAAGCTATTGGCTTCCAGCCCATGTCAAATATATCGAGTGGGTGTTGTTTTTAAATACAAGCTTCTTAATTCAAGGTTTTATGTGTTTAATTATGTATGTGTAAAGTGCCAGTCTGTGTGCCTCTTGGGTTTGGTCTGGTTTGGAAGTATTAAATACAAGAGTATATAGAAAGTACCATGGGATAAGATTTAACTCTTAGATGTGAGTACTTTATCCCAAGCTTCACTTGGGGGAATGACATCCCAGTGGAGATGACAAGAGAATCATCCTTCTAACTGAGGAAACATCTCGATTAGGAAGAAATGAACTTGAAGAACCAGAACCAGTCAGAAAAGGATTATTGCAGGCAATATGTGGTAGCAAAAAACACACTGGACTGTACCAGAGGAAGGTTTCTAAATGTGATTTTATTACTGTACTCCCTAGACTCAAGGCGAATTTTTCAAATTAGAATGCTGTATTTGAGTAATTTCAGTAAAATACTGTTTAAGTAATAACATGGCATTTAACTTTAATGCAGCTATAACAAAGACTCAGTCCCTCGTTTGTGTTTGAGGGAGCTGAAGGTTTTGAAAACTTGGGGGCCAGTTGACCAAAGGGCAAAGTCTCCATTAAGGTTTCATTTATGTTGAGGATGAGGTCACTTGGGTGAGATTTCCCTGGAGATGCTGTAGAATGCCCTAGGAAACACTTCAAAGAGGAGGGGCAGATTTTGCTTTTAATCAGAATAGTTCCCACTTTGGGCTTTACTATATTGTTCTTTGAGGTTCTGCACTAAGATTTTGTTCAGGATGAGGAAAGTCTGTGGCTTTACAAAAATTTGAGTTACTAGTAGATGCTGCATAAAAGGAGCCTTTCACATCACCAGATTGATCACGTTATACTACATCTAGCTCTCTCGCTCTTCTCCAAATATGTAGAATTTTCTCTTTTTGTATTGCATCACATGTAGTTGCAGTCAAGAAAGTAAGAACGTTACTCTCACTTTTGGGGAACTGTAGGACAGGCTGAATAAGTAACAAGAAACCCACTTAGAAATGATGTCAGGAGCTTCTAGATGGCAGACCAGCATGAAGTGCCTATTGCTTTGGAGAACAGCAGAGTTTTTAATGAGATGGAGTTTTGAAAGTAAGGAGATGGACTGGAACATGAAAAAGAGTTTTGAAAGCAGGAGTTCATTTCCTGAGCACCTAACCTTCTGCATCCTGAGTCTTCCAGGGAGTCTTTTCTTTGGGCTCTGAATTTGGATAAATGCTGTCATACACATGGTTGTTCTTAGAATTTTGCTTGGGGTTGTAGAACGCCTATTTGTTAGTGTGGAACTGGGAAGATGACATAAAGCTTTTCATAGATTATTTTGCCTTCAGTTCTCATTTGTGGTTTGCTCTTTGTAAATTAAGATGTCATGTTGAAAAACCCATGTAAAGCAATGGGATATAGAAACTTTAATTTTCAAAGCCTAGATTAATTCACCTCTTGCAGCCTGGTCCATGGTTTTCCTGACTGGTGTCAGCTTCCTAACTTTGAATCATATATGTATATGCAGTCTAGTAAAATAGGTTGTACTCAGCTTTTATTATGTTCTCAGTTTTTAGCTACTTGGAACCATTAAGGGAGATTATCAGGCATTCAGAAAAGTTTATCCCTTAGAAAAACTTTCCAGGTTTGGTCTCTAAAAGTTTGTAGGTCATGTAAGACCTAATTTAATTTAAGTGTGTAAATCCATTGGTAAATGATCACCATCATGCATGTATAACAACACCAAAATATATACAGTAAAAATTAAAAAGGAATCATAGAATTTGCAGGGATGTAAGTAACATTTAGCATTTTTAATTTCCTTTTTCTCCAACACCAGGGAGAGCACCTGTAGAAAGCATATGAATTCCTGAGGGTTTATGTCACTTTGGCACTTGATGTAGCAGTAGAGATGTCATATAGGCCTTCTTCTGCATTGATATCCTTACAGCTGTATTACAGAAGCTGCTTGAAATAGCAAGTTTTTTTTTTTTTAAGAGGATAATTAAAAGTGCCCCCTCCTATTCAGTGTTTATCTTCCTTAGTCTTCTTGGCTAGGTTTTCCCAGTTAGATTTCCTTTTCAGCAGATTGTTCTATGAACAGATACCAGGTTAAGAATAAGCTTGAAGTCTTTCCTCTCCCACAAGTGTCCAACTATGTCTATTTCCTGATCTATAAAAAAGGGGTTCACTTAGATGACAACTACTTTCTCTTCCAGTTCTAAAATCTTCCCTTGGTCTTTCTCTTTATATCTGCAGTTCTATATCTTCCCTGCTTCCTATCTCAGCTTCTCATGTATATCTGTTAATAAGTACTCATCAAGCTGGGAGTAGCTCATTGGTAGAAATGGCCTAGTATGTGCTACACTATGGGTTCAATCCCCAGTACTGCAAAAAACAAAAATAAACAACCACAATTTTAAAAAATACTTACAAAAATGGTTATGAAGAAGTCTCAATAAATGCAGTTGTAGGCAATCAGTGTTTATAAGTTGTTATTTTGATAGTTTCTTTGTTTGCCTTTCGTATGCATTAGCCAAAAGTAACTTACAGTTGTATTTTCTTTATAGAACACAGTTGTTGTAAACTAAAGCAATGACATATTTTCACTTGTCAGAGATTTAAAAAGTTTTACTGTCCAGTGTTGATGAAACTATATGGAAATGTTTACCTTCACACATTGTTATAGGAATTTAACTGTTGCTTGTTTTTTGGAGGACAGTATCAATATTTTTATGATATGTGATTGAAAAATACAATGTGTAACTTTTAAAAGCTATAATAGAAGAGACATTACCATTTATCTGCCTTAAAATACTTCTCCTTGGTTTGAAAACATTTATTCCATTGTTCATGCCACTTTTTTTTTTTTCGTACCAGGAATTGAACTCACGACCTCGCACTTGCCAGGCAGGCACTGTACCGCTGAGCTATATCCCCGGTCCCCATGCCACTTCCTAAAGCAATTGTGAAAGTCATCTTTCATGAGCACCTTTAGTTGTACTGTTTTGGCTGCCTTCATGGCCTAGATCTATTCAAAACATTTACCTTTCATGGTCAGTTTGGCTTTGGGGAAGAGCTGAAAGTTGCATGGTTTCAGGTCCAGTAAGTAAGGAGGATGAGGTCCACCAGAATGTTTTTAGGAGTGTACCTTTCTGTTGGATAGCAGTTGGTATCAGCACTGAACTTATTTTTGATCATACCTCATAAAGACACTAACAAAAGAGGACTTCCAGAACTGCTTCAGGAAGTGGCAAGAACAATGGGACAAATATGTTTGAAGCAAGGATGCATATTTTGAGGTGGACTAATGGAAGTGTATCTTTTACTGTGGGAAATATTTTAAATTTAAACATTAACTGTATTTTTATCACATCAGAGAATTTATATAAATTGTATCAGTGACTTCTGAGATCTTTGAAAAAATTCACATTTAAATATTAAGACAAATATGCAGGGGAGTTATTGCTATATTGTTTGTAATAATGAAAATTTGGAAAGATACTTTATTTCTATCAAGAGAGGAATGGATATTAAGAGTATTTTATATATCTTCATCTTACAGATAGTAAAAATAATACAAAGCATGAAGCTGATCTTACAATATCCATATTGTAAGTAGAAAAGCAAGAAACAAAACTATATCTCATTGTGGTCCATTTATATAAAACCTACATAATTATCTATATTCATACATAATTATATAGAAAAATAGTGAGAATACACACCAAATTGGTAACATTAATTGGAGAGAGAAGAAGACTTTCATTTTTATTATATATACACATCTATTAAATTTCTTAAGAGTAGTTATATATTGCTGGTATAAAAATGAACAAAAGCAAAAACAAGGAATTAATTCCTGAACAGTAAGAAAGCAAAAAGAGTGGAAAATTTGTCAAAGATATTAGGAGAACATTGTTTAAAGAATATGGCCAAAATTTCAGAAGCAGATGAGACGCATAATTTGTATTTGGCCAGAGCTGTCTAGCACTTTATAGCAATAACTGCCCTTTTGTTTCTTGACGTGTCCAGCTTACTCTTCTCACTTACCCATGTTCTACAGGTAACTCGGGACCAGATGAAGGTGTTCATACAGCAGGAATTTAAGAAAGTTCAGAAAGTGATTGCTGATGAGGAACAAAAGGCCCTTCATCTAGTGGACATCCAGGAGGCAATGGCCACGGCTCATGTGACTGAGATATTGGCAGACATCCAATCCCACATGGACAGGTTGATGACTCAGATGGCCCAGGCCAAGGAGCAACTTGATACCTCTAATGAATCAGCTGAGCCAAAGGCAGAGGTAAATGAAAATGTCCTCTATCACTAGTAGCAGGATAAATAGGAAGAACCTAATTGCCATGTTTGTTAGTGCTGGAAATGCTCCTTTGTGATCCCTGACTGTGAATGAATTAAAACCTCAGGTACAGTTATAAGTGTTTCAGCTGGTCTGTGACCTGGTGTGGAATTCAGTACTAGCCACTAAGGCTTGTACTCAGCAGCTGAACCTGGCAAAGTATGTATCTACTTTGATTTAAACGAGAGTAGTCAGTGGGGCAGATACTAGTCACAATGAAATCAGAATCAGAGAAGAGGATATGTGACACATCCCAGGTTCTGAAATGAATGTATAAAGTCACTACTGAGATGAAAACTGGGCAGAAGGAAAACAAGTCAGGAAGTAGATCACAAAGCAGGCCAGAATGAAAGAATTTGGGACTTATTCTGTAAATAGTAAAAGGGTGCTTCACTTCATTTTATATGGTACTAACTGTATAAATTGGAGGTATAACTGCCGGATCAAGAGTGGCTTGTGCAGCCAGGTTTGTAGGTCATGCCTATAGTCCCAGCTACTCAGGAGACTGAAGAGGGTGGATCCTTGGAGTCCTTGAATTCAAGACCACCCTAGAAAAACCCTGTTTCAAGACAAAACTAAATAAGCTTGTCATGTGTGCTGAGACGTTGTGAAGATAAAGACCAGTGTGAGTGAAAGATGCAAGGCAGATTTGAATCACCGTGCAAATGTTAATTTTAATATGTTGCAGAATGGCAGAGAGGGTCGTTTTGTGGCTTAATAAACAAAAAGTTCAGCCAGAGTTAACTCAGCAGATCAACAGCATGTCTCAAATTCCCCTCAAACTAGACTGTCGCATTTATTCTGTGTATTGATTAGGTTGTTTTTTCAAAAATAAAGGTCTGATTTTGTGAAATATTCCCATCTTTTATTTTTACTTCCAGGAATAAATTTAGTCTCTTTGCATCATTAACTGTCCTTTAGGCACTCCAACTGATGGAATTACTCATATGAATGTAAAAGCTGACAAAGGATTAGGCTTGGGACAAAATAAGCTATTAAAAATAAGAAGGAGCATTCAGCTTGCTAGAGCGTGTTCAAAGAGCTGTATCACCTAATAGCTTTTGTTCCAGTTAATCTGGTAATTTATTGGTTAGAGCAAATATCTAGTACCTCTCTTTCACTTAACAGAGAAATTCTTTACTTTGCAAAGTAGGGAATATTTTTAAAAAATCACCTGTGTTTCAAATTTAGCCAAGAGATTCCTCACCAGCATTTTATTTTGAAAAATTCAAACATACAGCAAAATCGACGGGATTTTAAAGATTATACCCATATACCTACCACCTAGATTGTGATCCATTAACATTTTTCCATACTTGCTTCATTACATTTCTAACTATCTTTGCAACCTTCCACTCATCGCTCAATTTTATTTTTAGCACTAAAGCAAAATGAAATTTCTGATTCTGAGTAAGAATTGGCTGTGGGAGAACATACTCCATTTTACTCTTTCCACTAATTACTCTAAAAATCTGGACAGAAGTCACCTAGTCTTCAAGGTGGGTAAAGATGCTAGACTGACTGGAGACCTTGGCTTTAAAGAACTGTAAGGCAGTGAATTACCTGGAATTTTCCTTGCTTCTATTATGTTCTGTTCCCAGTGTTCTGTAAACTGGAAACATTAGTGGATATAGACACCCCTCAAAAAAAATGTTCAAGAAAAATCTGATAAACCTTGTGACCTACCTCGCTATCCATTCTGGAAATGAATGCCATGAAGAAAAAGCCTCCCTCCTCCTGAAGCCCCACTGATACCACTACAGAGCTGATATACTGGAAGATCTGTTTTATACCTTCCCTTACAGTAACAAGATGTCTATTTTCCATGGAGCCTGTAGGTGAAACTTTGATTTCTGCCTCTGCCCTTGCCCCTGTCAAGTGCTTGTCTTCCATGCACTTGTAAGAAGAACTCTGACTTTGTTCCTGCCTGCTATACCAGCGAGGAAGTATAGCCTTCCCTGTGGAGACAGGGCTGGAGCACGTAACTCCTTCCTCTTACTGCTGCATTAACTAGATACCGCCCTTCCCTAGCGGGCTTAGTGGTTAGAGCTTTATCTTCTATCTTTGCCTTGTATTAATGCGTGGTCCTCTCATTTTCCTCAGCTAGCTCTGTGGATCCTGTAGAGTGGAGGGTTATCATCTAAGTGGGGGCATAACAGGATAGTACTGCAGAAGCTTTATAAACTAACATGACGTTTGAACCATGCTCTGCAAAAAATGATCCAGGACATGTGTCTGGAAACTAAACAGGTTAAATACCTGCCAAAATAGATATAATAACCTATTCTTATTCTGTGACTCAATAGATATCCAGTATACACTAAAATTCTACAATAAAATATCCGTTCTAATGAGAAAATAATGGGTAACACTAAGATGACACAAGTGTGGGGATTGCCAGAGAAGCCAAGCTATTGTAAAAGTGTGTCAGTGAATATTTAAAAACACCCTGGAAACAAATTAAAACTAGAAAATAGTACCAAAGAAACGGAAGATATGAAAAAGAACCAAATGAAAATTTTAGAACTGAAAAATACAGTAACTGACACAAAATAGTCACTGGAGGTGCTCACTGGCAAATTTGATGCCAGATGACAAAAGAAAGCCAATTGGTGAATGTGGAGATTGTTTAATATTGGTACAATCTAAATAGCCAAGGAAAAAAATTTAAAAATAATCAGCCTCCAGGATCTGTGAGGCAATAATGAAAGATGTAATATACATATAAGAAGAGGAAAGAAAAGAATGAGGGGCAAAAAAAAACCTCAAAGAAATAATGGTTCAAAATTTCCAGGGTTTGGTCAAACAATGCAAATGTGTAGATTTAAGAAGCTAAGTGAAGCCAAACAATATGAAATCTTAAGAAATTAATTCCCAGGCACATAAAAATCAAACTTATAAAAACTAAAGAGAAATAAAAAAATCTTGAAAGCAGAGCAGCTGAAGAGAAATGACAAATTGGCTGTGGGAGGCAACAATGTGAATGAACATGGTCTATGGCTCCATTTATAAGTCTGATTTATATGCTTTTAGAAATGATTTGCATGCAGTTTTCATTTAAAGGCTCTCAGTGGCTTTTGTTAAATTTGTTTTTAGGTCTTTAATTTTTTGATGCTATTGAAAATAAAATTGCTTTTCAGTTTTATTTTTTAAGACTTTTCATGTTATATGCATTTTTGTAACACTGGATTTCTCTCTGTTGCCTGGGTGTCCTCAAACTCAGGCAGTCCTCCTGCCTCAGCCTTCTGAGTAGCTGGGATTACAGCCATGTGCTACCTCTCCCAGTTTACAGTTGATTTTTATGTTTTAACCTTTTATCTTTTAACCTTGCCAAACACCTATTAGTTATAATAGTGACTTTATAGATTCTTTGAGACCTTATATACATCAGCAATCATGTCGTCTGCAAACAGAGACTGATTTACTTCTTCCTTCCAGTCTCTCTGCCAATTATTTCGTTTTCTTGCCTTATTTCAGTATCTAGGGCACTGATGGCAAATCATTTAGAGCTTTCTTTCAATGATAACAAACAGTGGGCTGCGGCACACAAGCCATAGGTTTACCACCACTGGTCTAGGGACTTTGGTGCAATGCCTGACATAAATGGTAAAAGTAGGCGTCCTTGCGTGGTCCCATCTTAGAGGAAAATCATTCAGTATAGTAAATATGATGGGTTTTGTAGATGTTCTTTATTAAATTGAGGAAACTCTCCTCTGTTCTTAATGTTGTGAGGGTTTTATCCTGATACACTGAATTTTATCAGATGTTTCTTCTGCACCTATTAAAATGGTCTTATTGTTTTTTCCATTCTTTGATTGTGATTATTAAATTATACTAATTTTATAACATTAATCCAATGTTGCATTCTTGAGATAAACTTTGGGTTTACCTTTGATACTATTTTATTAAGGATTTTAAAAAAATTATTTTATTTTATTTTATTTTTGGTATTGGGAATTGAACTCAGGACCGCACGCTTGCCAGGCAGGTTCTGCACTGCTGAGCTATATCCCTGGCCCTATTAAAGACTTTTATGTCTGTTCATGAGTGATTTATTAGCCTACAGTTTTATATTTTTGGAGTGTCATTGCCAAGTTTTTGTATTAGGCTTATGTTTTCCTCATGTGACTTTCTCATTCGTTTCTGCAAAATTTATTTACATCATTTTATGAAACACTTCATCAAAGTCAAATATTAAAAGATGTTTTTCAAACTTTATTCATTAATAAAAATTGTGTTTATTTTTGTTTATGTCATGGGCATTTCCATATTTTGTCCAGTTTTTGAAAGAAGATTCTGATTGTAATGAGATAATAATTAGAAAAAGTTTTTGGATAAGGAAATCACTAGAAATGATATACACATAGCTTATGCATTTGTTTTAAACCTGAAATATATTTCTGTACACTTCTGATCCCGAGTCAAGGCATTTTCTTTGAAAATGTGGCTGACTTGGAGTTGCACGACATATGTCTGGTATATAGATCCAGCACATCTCTGCTGGACCATTTAAAATGTTCAATTTTGCTCTCTTTATAGTGAAGGGAATACCATTTAAAACAAGCTGAATGCTTCTTTCTAGTATTTGCATGTTTCATCTACAGTAAAAAATGTCACCAGTTTAAGTTACTCATTGTACTGAGTTGTGTGGAAGCATTCAAATTCTTGTGAAAGCAACAGTTGCCTCTCTTGCACTAATTTTTTTGTTATTTAATTAAATGCATCATTATAATTTCAAGTTCAGCTGAATAAACAGGCTTGAGATTAAAATTGTTTGGATTTTGGTGAACATTTCCACTGGTGGAGGTAGAAATGAGAAGTTGCCCTAAATTGTAGCCTGCCAACCAAGAACATTCAGGAGGGATTTGGGAGCACTGTCAAATCTAACAAGTCATCTGTATGGAAGTTAGTGTCTAATACACTCTCACTTTTGATATTCTTGAAATCAGAATTGATTTTGGAAGAGAAATTAATTTTAAACCTCGCTCTATCTTGCCTACCCTCTTTTCCTATTTACTGTGTGCCTTGTGCTGCCTTTGGTGCAGTGAATACAAAGATGAACAAAACATGGTTTTCATTCTCAAGGAGTTGAAATCCAAAGGTGGAGAAGCTGTGTGGTGGTGTCATCATCATTTTTCCTTTCTTAAGTGCTAGTCTAGAAGGATGAACTCTACAGATGTGGAGTTCAGAGGAGGATTATCCCACTCACACTCTTAAGTGAGGAAGTATCTTAGTAAGGCTTGATCTTAAGGGATAGATGGGAATTAGCTAGGCTTTAGGGATAAACATGTACATTTTGGGCAGCAGAGAGAGAATGCACACATTTTACACTGGCAGGTTAGTCATCTCAGTGCTGACTTATTCAAAGTGACCCTAAAATTTGTGTGTATTTATTTCCATCATTCATTTATTCACACGTTCAGTGGTGAAACTCTCACTCAGGCCTTCCCCATGTTTTGTGATAGTGACTGCTATTTTTGAAAAGAAAAACACATTTGTAAGCAGCAGCAATGGGTGAATTTATGGCAAAACCTCATGCCCTATTCTCTCTTCTTTCTTACTCTCCCCAAGATATGTTATTAATTATAATCATAGCAAATAAGATAATGACGACCATTTGTTGTGATGTCCCAGACACTTGCTTAGCATTTTACACAGATTTACTCATTTATTTCAGTCCATGCAGTGACCCTTTGAGGTAAGAATTAGGATCTCCATGTGCAGATGGAGAAAACGAATCTTGGTATAGTTATATAAATTGCCAAAAGCTTTAGTGTTGGAATTAATTTGAGGTCATGTTTTTATAATTCAGAAATCCCATTGCACTAAAGTGCATGATTGTGAGGGGGATTTGCTGTGTAAATCATGGGAGAAAGTTTAGGTACTCCTAGACAGTTACGGTTAGACATCTAAAGATAATTGAAAAATTGTGTAGAGCTTTAATTGCACCACAGATAGTTTTAAAACTCATATGAAATTTAAATCATGGGACTTTTTCTCTTGCTGTATTATAGTTCTCATGAGACATGCCAGTTGATCAAAATGCAGAAAAAGCTTCCACTATGCCAATATCCTCCTTTTACCACTTGTCCCACTTTCCTCTCATTGGAATGTGGGTGATTAGCACTTTTTACCACTGTCGCAGATCCTTAATGGCCTGTTAAAATGCCCTTCCTGTTCCCCCTCTAGTAGGATGTCTTTTTTAAATCACCTCCTTGGCTGCGGCTGTCCTTTACAGGCTTGCAACCTGGCAGTTTCCATTTATCTCTATTGTACTCTGCACTTCCCACCGCCCTCAGCCTGCTCCCGCGGCCCCTGCCCAAGACACATGCAAATCCCCGTTCTCTAGTTCACCAAACGCAGAGTTCCTTAAGCAATAACCATTTTAAAGCTTATCTTTGCTCTTGCTCTTCCAGTACTTTTCCCACTTTTCTCTGTTGTCAGCCTGTGAAAATTCTAATTCAAGTGGCAGTGTAAATGTCACCTTCTCTGTGAAGCCCTCCCCAAGTTCTCAAGAAGAAGCCATGTTCGTTCGTCCCTTTTGACTCTCAAATCGTTCTCTTTATGTCTTTATTAGATCCCTTAACATATTTAGCCATAGTTAATTTTCTTTCTGCCTGTTTCCCATGCTCCTGATTGGGAGCATCTAGGTGGTTAGATCATTATGGGTTATTTAATATTTAGCACTTATAGATAGTAGCTTCTTAATGAACTGTGCTGAATTACCACTGAAATTGATAAATACCCTTTATTGAGTGTTGTGTGTCTCAGGCACTGGGTTTGATGGTTGTAAGAGTTGTTCACTCTTCTTACCCATCCTATGATAAAGAGATAGTTATGGCCCTATTTTACAAATTTAGGAAATTGAAGTTAAGAGAGGAGAAATCACTTGACTAGGCCAACAGATCATGAAAGTGACAGTCAAGATTTGAACCCAGAATGTCTGGTTCCCACGTCATTGTCCTTTAAATACTAGCAGGAATCATTTATTCATTCCTTCCTTCTCTGGGGAGTACAACCAGAGGTTCATTCTCTGTTGAGACCACGCTGAATAACTAAGGATGTCAAAGGTGCTGTGTCAGAAAAGGGTAAGTGAGCCCTTGGAAAAGGCTTCAGAGTCATGTGAAAGATGTTTGGTCACAGAAGGAGGGTCAGAGGCATCTGCTTTGATCAATATTGATAAAGTTAGATTGAAAGAATGGAATCCCTGGAGAAAATTACATTCACCCATGGTTTTTGCAAAATAGACAAGAAAAAGTCATTATTTGGCTAAAGAATGGTAGAGGTCACCTAACTCTAGAAATACCCTCTTACAGAGAAGAAAGCCTAGGCTTAGATTAATCAGTCAGCTTGCCCAGGGACACATACTTAAAAAGTATCAGAGCTTAGACTAGAATCCCAATTTTCTAAGTCCCATTTTGGTACCCTTTCCACTTTAGTGTGCTGTATATTAGAGTTACTGTGTTCATGTTTAGAGATAAAAACACTAGACTGTGGCAGAAATGAATCTTAAAAAAAAAAACAGCTTGATACTTTTCAAGCTGATCAGCTTTTGCCTAAGACCTGCTGCTATTTTGGGGCTCTCGGTTTGTCCAGAACTGAATACTGCCAGCCAAAGAAATAAAAAAGCAGGGCTGTTATTTAGGCCTCCTAGGTCTGAGCATTCACTTCTGTGCTTGCAAGGGCAAATTTTCAGTTCATCTCTGCTGGGCAGTTTGAACATAGGGTTTATATTAGACCTTGTCTTAATCCTTAGATATCTAAGTCTTTAGATAGCCAGTGGGTTGTCTTTTTCTTTTCTTTTCTTTCCTTTTTTTTTTTTTTTTTTAAATGTACAGTCTTTGAAGGAAGAGAAGAAAAAGAAAGAAATCTAAGTCGGTTTTACCAATGATGATTTCTAATCCTCTTTCTTTCTGTTGTCTTTCAGGGCGATGAAGAGGGACCCAGGTAAGATCACATTATTACTGCTCGTCTATTCTCAGAATTGAAGTAGAGTGACATTTATGACCTTTTAATGCCCCACAGAATATGGACAGCCAAGGAAATAGCACAGAAAAGGGATCTCCATCTTAAGCCAGGGCTTTGGAAAACCTTATTTTTTAAGACTCCCATCTCCTGCACTATCTGTGTCATTTCCTGTCTATAACCTTCAGATAAAGGTAGACTTGAAAGTTGTAATGGCAGTGACTTTGCTTTATTCTTTAGCACATTCAGAATACCTTAAGAAAAAGCCAGCACTACATTTGAACGGTAGTTATGCTAGCAGGTGAGCCCACTAAATAAACTTTTGCATTGTTCTTTTAATTTGAATTTGGTTTTTTTAATGGGCTCTAGGTTGTTGCAGGAATGTTCTTTATTCTGACTGTAACATACTAATACAGTGAATGCAAGTCATAGGTGTATAAAATTTTGTTTAGGGAAAAAAATGCCATTGTGCTTTTCTGCATCTACAGTAAGATGGCATTTTTAAAAGTGCATTTCATTATTGTCTCAGCCTTGCAGCAAACCTGGACTTGGGGTTTACTTACCTTTCCAGTATTTTGCTCAAGCAGTGTGAACAGACTCTAAGAACTGCCGCAGTTGTGTCATCACAACTGGGGATTTGTACCAAGTAAAAGGCAACGTCTAGACAGACCCCATCTGTCACATAGGCTCAAAAACTGTTAGACTGGGAGGGATCAGAAGTCAGTTAGGCCACTGAAATTCAGATTTTATTTCTAGCAGAAATGCTTTTTTTTTTTTTTCCAAACAAACTTTAAGTAGAACATCACAGTGTAAGAAATTGTTTGTCTCTACTTAAAATTAGGGCCACATCTACTGGTAAACCATCTTTCTCTGTGTTGGTAGACCCTGTGGGGCTTCTGCAGAGACCAGGGTTTCTCAGAACTCAGTTTGAACATCACTGATCTAGCTCAAGTGCCTCATTAAAAGAAGCTAAATGGATGTCCAAGGTTATCTTACTGGTGCCAGTATTTGGCACTGCTTTGATTTTACCTCAAACCAACAAATACAGTTCCTTTTTCATTTTCCCTGCCCACATTCTGAGGCTCCTTCATAGTTAAGAAGTATCAAACATTATCCCAAATCTCCCTGTGCAGAGTGTCCTTCCCTTGGAAGCTGATTCTCAGTCTCTGCTCTAGAATGGTGAGGAACTGTCCAGCTCCTTTTCTGCTATGGCTAAAGTCCCAGGCGCCCTGCTTTAAACTTAACTTCTAGCCATTCTCACGAACAGGTTCCTCCTGTGTGGTGATTTCCTCCCCACTTTCCCCTGTCCCTTCCTTTCTCCCTATCTTTCTTCATTTATCCATTTAAAATGTTTGTGACCCTGCTGTGTATCCAGCTCTGGGCTTCATACTGGGTACAGATGGTGAGTAGGGCATCTAACAAGCACTCATTGTGGGCAGTGCTGTGATAAGCCAAATCCAGGCTGTGTGAGGAAGGGCTCCAGCATCTGTCTGGGTGATGAGGGGAGGCTAACCAGGAAAGGTTATGCATAAACGGAGGTCTGGATAATGAGAAGGCAGGAGAGGACAGGGTCAGTTTTTGTAGATAGAAGAAAAACCTGTGTAAAAGGTCTGCATAGAGAAGAGTAGAAGAAAGAAAGTGGATTCTGCTCATTTAGAGTTCATTGCTGTGTAAACTAAAGGTATTTAAACTATCCTGAAGTCAGTAGGAAGCCTTTAAAGAATTTTAAAGAGGAATTAACATGAGCAGGTTTACATTTCAGAAGTCTTTGTGCTATTGGAATGGAAAATAAATTGGAGATGAGTGAAGGACCAAAGTTGGATTAGGGCTCTTACTATGTTTTATGTTCTATAATAGTGTACCCAAGGCTAGGTATTTGTAAGGAAAAGAGGTATCTTTAGTTCACAGTTCTGGAGATCCACGGGCATGGCGGCAGTACCTGAATTGGTTCTGGTGCAGGCCTCATGGTGGATGGCATCATAATGGTGGAGAACTTTGCCGAGAGATTTTTTTGAGGAAGGGTATCACCTTCTTTATAACAACCAATTTGCTGGGAACTAATTCAACCTCACAGGACTTGCTTAATCCTCTCCAAGGGTGGTGCTCCCTTGACCTCAGCTTCGACAGGCCCCGTGCCTTACACTCTGTAGCACCTTTTAACATCTCCACTCTGGAGCCATGCGTTCAGCACATGAGCCTTTGGGGCTCAGATCACATGCAAACCATATTATTTGATTAGCAGTGGTAGAGGCCTAAATCAGTATATTCTTCAGTTATTGACCAGGTTGTCACCATTTGAAGTTTGATTTAGACACCAAATTCTCCTTGGTACTTCATCTCTTATTCTCAAGACTTAAAGTCCAGGTTAAGCAGACTTCTAGACCTTTCCCAGAAAGAGTTCCAACAAGACCACAGGGAGAAAATGGCTTAGCAGAGGTAGAGTGCAAGCTCCACGGGATGCCAATGGCATTTCTGTCTTGGGAGAGCCTGATGAGGCTGAGGCTCATTTTATCTTTATGGCCACATGTCAGAGTCATGGTGGTTAGAAGAATACAGGGACCTTATGAAAAGATTAATACCCCTTTCAAAGACACTATTGAGTATAAGATTTTGGCTTTAGAGTTTAATTGCAGATACCTTCATGTCATTTTGACAAGGGAGTGGTGAGGCATAGAGTTTCCTTACTAGCAACCAAGATGTCAAGCTGTCTCCCTTGAGCCAGGCTGCCTTGGATGTCAGCAGGGTTCTCGTGGACTAGAACTTGACAAAACTCTTTTTGGTACAGTGAGCACTTGAAGAGCATGTAAGAGGAGTAACATTTTTTAGCCTTTAAATTCGTACTTGTTGATTCCATTCACTTTATTTGTATTGAACTACCATTTGGCTTAATTTACTCCAATTAACACTTCAGGGCAGATGGCCTTTGATCTGAAATTTGTCATTTATGATACACACTTTACCATTTCAACAAGCCACACAGAATGTTGTTCTAAAGGCTTCTGCATTGCTGACAGGTTATATGAGGGTTTGCTGTGTTAGGGAGGCAGAAAGAAAATGTAGGTCTCTCTGCTCAGACTATAGATGAGAAATTTGCTTGGTGACCCTGAGTTTTAGTTCTGCTTGGAATCTTATGCCGGTGTCCTCTTTGCTAGCATTCTTTCTGCACAGCATCTTTCCCACTGTGTAGAAGTCAAGGGAGAAATAGATTCAAGCAAGTCTCCACAGTGGAAGATGCAGAGAAAAATTCCTGTCCTGTAGTAACATGCTTTCCTATAATAGATCTTCCTCCCTTCCTACCAGCTGGTCTCTTTGCTTCCCTTGTCTTTTCTGTTCTGTCACCCCAAACTTTGTGATATAAGATGGCTGGATGCTGTGCTTTTGGTCATGTCTGTTTCTTGCCCTGAGTTTTAGTATACGGTTATCCTGCTAATTAAAATAATACTAATCATAGCTACCATTTATTGAAAGTTTATTATATCCAAAATGCTTCATATGAATTAAAGTTTAATCCTTATATAAAGATTATACTATAGTTATCCCACTTGTCAAATAGGGAAATGCCTGGAGAGATTAATTTGCCCTGAACCACAAAGCTAGTAAAGGACAGACTTAGGACTTGATTCTCTTCCAGTTTCAAGGCTCATGCACTTAACAGTCTCTTCAGCTATCTCCAAGAGGCCGACGGACTTCACTCTGTGGGCCTGTATGCAAGCCCAGTGGCTTCACACACAGTTCTCAGGGATCACTTTGGTCTGGTCCCTCTCACTTGGGAGTTCTTACTTGCTCTGACATTGAATTGCTGACTTTGGTTTTCTGCAAGCAATTTCTCAAGAGGGAGGCTCTTAGGCTTAGTTTCTGTCATTGTATAGGGATATTTCTTTGTCTCATCTTCACACAGTGTCTTCAGAATATCAGCAGCAAAGGGGTGCTATCTGGGGAGCAGCCAGCCAAGCCTTCTTTTGACCTCTCCTAATAGCTGCCCACTGCTCACCATGTGGCAGTTTACTCCTCAGCTCCACAATACACAGTCATATATCTGGCAAGGGTTCTCAGAGGGCGTGAAGGAACAAAAGTCCTAATACGTAAAACATGGATATTAACGGCTGTAGAGTCATCTTGTAAGAAGGTGTCTTTGAAACCCAGAATGATTTTTTTTCAAGCAAAAAAGCAATTTACACTTTTGGCAGCGATTTTCCGTCTTCTCTCTGCTATTATGGAAGATCTTGTGTTCGCTCCCTCACAGATTGGCTCCTTCTATACTCTTGCCAGAGCCTGCTGAGAAGTAATATATATTCAAGGAGAGGGGGTGGCAGTATGATCTGCTAGTGTGAGAGCAATTGTGTGGTGGGAGGACATCAGAGAAGGAAAGACCCTTAAACTCTTGAGCTCAGAGGAAAAGGAGTGAGATCAGATTAAATTTTGATTTGCTGTTGAGGTTTTCTGTGATTTTTTTAAACTAAAAGAAAAATGACTTTACTATTAGTAGCCATATTTGGAGCCTCTGTAGAATTTTTCATCTTCAAAGCTGGCTGTTATTCAGGCAAGGAAGCTTCTGCTGAGATAAGTGTGAATGTGACCCATGCTGATTTTGTGATCAAACAGGAAGCATGTTGTAAAGAAGTAGGAGCTAGAGGAGTCAGCAGGCCTTACTTCTGTTCTTGCTTCTGCCTGTGACTATGTGGCTTTGGGTAAGTCATTTAACCTTCTTATACTCTTGTTAATTTCCCTGTAAATTCAAACCTCATCTCTCCTCGTCCCCATCTCGGGCTCATTTTGGAGATGTACTTGTGATGAGCAACACAAATTTATCAGATACAGCGTAAAAGAATCCACTTAAAGATTAGGTAATTTGGTAATTTTTTTTATATCTCCACTTTGATTCCTTAAAAATTATTTTGGGGCCATATGCTAGGCACCTCCTCCTCCATATTTTCTTAGATATAGCATTCTCTCTCCCTCTCTCTTTTTTTTTTTTTTTTTTT